CGTTTTAGTTTGGCGTGGCAGAGTCTTAACTTTGATAAAGAATATCTCTTTGGTTTTGAGACTTTAGTCTTTGCAACTTCAGGGATCTTATCTATGCACAATCAGCTTGTAACACTCCAAAGAGAAAGGAAAACTTGAAATCGCATCATATGACCCCTTTAAGTTGTTGCGGTTGTTATTACGTCTTAGGTCACATGATAACATGGACATGGCAGATGATGTCCGGTTCGCATTCATACTTAACGCATTCTGGTTATAGCATACGTACTCTTTTAATTTCGTTAAGTGCTTATTAAAAATTATGTACCTACTCCGATAGTATGCTATTTCAGACGCAGCCACTGTCTGCATGTTTTTATTTTTTTATTAGACATTAAAGACAACATGCAACAGTTACAACTTTAACAAGACATCCAAAAAGATAACACAATTAAAGGAATGGGTTTACAATTTGGATTTAAATAAGCAAATACTGACAAGTTTAGGACTGTGTCATTATTGCAGTGGTTAAAGGAGTCATAATATGTTGCTAAAAATAACATTATTTTGTGTATTTGGTGTAATGAAATGTGTTTATGCGGTTTAAGGTTAAAAAAACACATTATTTTCCACATACTGTACATTATTGTTTCTCCTCTATGGCCCGGCTTTCTGAAACGCATTGATTGATTGGCCAGCTATCTAGTGTGTTTTGATTGGACGAATACCTCAAGCGTGTGACGGAAATGTTATGCCCCTTACCATACTGTGATGCCCTGTCCAACCGGAGCGACGAGACAAAAACATTAAAACCCATTATAAACGAGGCATTTGTTGCATCCAGTGGGGACGTAATTACGGATTATAATTACTTACACTGTCTTTTTACGCGTTGCATCGCGCCGCATAAACATAAAACCATGTCTGCATTTGTGATCGGAGAAATGACAAACAAGCGCTACTCTACACTGCTCAAAACTCGCGCTTGAATCATCAATGGCAAATCCTTTAAATATAAAAAAACGTACCTGCAGTCTGTGAGTCAGAACAGCCGGCATTTTAGTCTACTCTACCAGGATCAGGAAACAGTCCTCCATAAAATGTGCTGCACACATTTGAATATTTGGGTTGAACTGTTCTGGAACAGTGTTGTAAATACAACTTAAAGGGATAGTACACCCAAAAATGAAAATTTGATGTTTATCTGCTTACCCCCAGGGCATCCAAGATGTAGGGGACTTTGTTTCTTCAGTAGAACACAAATTATGATTTTTTTTTTTAACTCCAGCCGTTGCAGTCTATCAGTCGTATAATGCATGGCAATGGTAACAAAATCTATGAGAGTAAAAAAAACATGCACAGACAAATCCAAATTAAACCCTGCGGCTCGTGACGACACATTGATGTCCTAAGACACGAAACAGTCGGTTTGTGCGAGAAACCAAACCGTATTTATATCATTTTTTACCTCTAATACAACACTATGTCCAACTTCCTTGACCGCGCATACGGCATCCGGTGCGTGAGGTGTGTACATGCTCTGGCATAGTTTACGCAAGCGCCGGAAGTGATCTCTCTCGAGTATACGTCACTCATTGTTTACACAGTGCACAGTCATTGTAGGTACGACGGCTAATCAAAATGGTACTTACTTGCGCTTATCCGGATTGTTCAAACCGACTTAAAACTAAAAGATTACGTTCTCTCGCGTGAACTCATTCGGGAGTGGTGACTTTCCACGTATTCCCAACTTCTGAGCCTGCTCGCCTGAAGTTATGGTTGATTGCTCTTTGGTTGGATATCAATGCAACTTTACAGATCTTCTTTATGCACCAAGAGCTTGTAACACTTCAAAGAGAAAGGAAACATTGAAATTGCATCATATGACCCCTTTAACATGTTTCTGGCATGTTATACAGTGCCCTAACTGAGTGTGTAGCTTTTTACTTCTCAAATAACAATTTTGGAAGGCACATCCATGTACAGAGAGAGAGAGGCATTTCAAGACTTCTGATATTCCTCCAGTAACAGTGCTGGGACTTTTTGCCATTTATATCACTTTACTCCAGAGGTGTTAATCTCAATTCCTGGAGGCCTGGAGCCCTGCAGAGTTTAGATTCAACCCTAATTAAACACACCTGATCTAACTAATCAAGTCCTTAAGGGTTATTTGAAAACTACATGTTATATTTGTTGGAGCAGGGTTGGAACAAAACTCTGCAGGGCTCCGGCCCTCCAGGAATTGAGTTTGACACCTCTGCTCTACTGTTAGTGCAGAGACTTAAGTACAGGTTACAATGTTTTGCCAGTAGGTGGTGGCAAGTGACAGTCTTTAAAGCCCAAGACACACTGCATGATTTTCGGTTGTCCCAGACAAAAGATTGCATCGTCAAACAATCGTGGCGATTTCTGTGATCATGGCTCCTAATCGGTGGTCATATGTTGTACAGTGAGAGAGGTTCAAAGACGGCTGTTTTCACAGTCTTGCGACCAAAGATAGTCTACGATCATTTTCTGACAGCTTCAGAAATTCAGCATCACAGTGTGTTTGCTGCTACGACCCACGTTTACTGACCAGCCAATAAAAAATGTGACATGAAATCAACGCGTCACGGCGCAAAAACATACAACTGCTTACCTTAAGCTCTTATCCCTTCCTCTTTCATTGCTTCCACTTTTTTCAGAACACATAACTGCCAAAGAGTGATTCGTCATGCTCTTTTTGTTTACCACTAGCGCATGCTGATGAAGTTTTATTCTACTATAGTAACGTGCTATACTGTTAGTATAGCACGTAGCCTACGAGTCACTAGGTGTCATCGTACAGTCTGCATACATTTAGTACCATGAATATCAGATCCATGTTGCACAGTGTGATTTGCAATGATCTTATAGGATTGCTAATATTGTGCAGTGTGTAGAAGGCTTACTAGTGAGTCATAAGACCAATGAATACACTCAAAAATGCTGATTCGTTTAGGAATTAAAGTGTTGAAATTATTTGAACTTTGAACAGCACCCTGCAAGGCTTAAATGACGAGCAAAACTCCAGGGTAATGCTGAAGCTTACGCTTCACTTCTGCCAAACAAAATCAAGCATTCCTCAGCCCAATGGTATAAATGGGCAATATCACACAAGATCACAGATATATATATCTGTGATTATATAATTTATAAACCATAAAAGACACTGACCAAGCAAACAGATGTGAGTAATAGTTGGATAAAAATGGAAAAATGCATATATTCTATATGGAAAGCATGATTTCTTACTCCCACTCTCTCTCTCTGCACGCACCTCATGCTACAGACACACACTCAAAAACATGCAGATGCATACACAAGCACAGAAACTTGTCAGTGCTGTTATGCAACTTTAACGCTAAAATAATTTTGCAACTGAAAAACTTTGTCTGCTTCACATTGTAGGTACATTAAACCTTGGGTGTACATTATTTTTCAGTAACTCAATTTCTTATGTATATAATGTATTTATTCTCACATATGTGTGTGCACAGCTGTGTAAAGTTTTAAAGATGTGCATCCACTACTTGATCTGTATGTTATGTTCATATACAGATCAACAAATCATTTTCACATTGAATTCCAGCTTTCTCCATGCAGCTTTATGCCAGCCTGCATGGAGAGGTTCTCAACATTCTTTGAAAAATTATAATCTGAATGTTTATTTTACAGAAATTCTACTGATATACCATATGCACATGCACGTGTAATTTTAAGCCTTATGCTTAAAATTAAGTATTTTTCCACATGGTAATGGGAGTGTATATTGATGTGCACAAGAACAGATTTATGATAAATGTACAAATGTATTAAAAAGAAAAAAACTGAAATTTCATATTGATTTTTTGCGACGTTTGAAATTTAGCTCCGGTGCATCAGGTGAACTCTTTTAGATGTTTCTACTAGGGATGCACCGATATGAAAATTTTGGCCGTAGGTAAATACTATGGTACCACACTATATCTCGGTATCATAGTATCTGACACCATCACTGTACCATTTGTAAGGGTTGTGTTCTCCATTGTAGCTGATTGGATTATTGCTGACATGTTAGCCATCCGACAAAATGCACTTGGACACGTAAGATACGTCCTGAAAGATGGTCTGAAGTGGCTTCCTTTGTATGGATGGTATTTCTCACAGGTAGTGTGCATATCTAATTTGAAACTTTAGATCTCATTCATGTTCATGTTTATTGAATGGTTTTATAAACAATTTACTCAAGTTTATTCTGCTTGTTACATTAATAGGACCAGATGTATGTTTATGACTATGATTGATGTTATTCACAGCATGGAGGCGTGTATGTGAAGAGAAGTGCCAACTTTGATGAGAAAGCCATGAAAAAGAAATTATCATCTCAGACCATACTGGGTACACCTGTGAGTATATATCCATAGCACTCAGTGACTGAAAATCCGCAAAGCAATGCTTGACACATGTATATAGAATTCATGTGATGTGCAGTCATATGTCTCTCTTCTGTATATTAAATGTTTTATATAATGGCTTCAATTAGGGCTTGTTACAAAGTTCACATAGTCAGAATAATTAAATTTCACCGTATACAAATTAGGTTATTACAATTTTTTTACAGATGTTTCTGTTTTTGATTAATGAACATTTACATCTACATTCTAACTCAAGCTACTACTGTCAATTCAAGCCACCAAGCTACTGACAAATGTGCATTTCTGAGACAAAAAAATGTGATATAATATTGCTGCCTGCACTGCAAACTGTGCTGAAGATACTTGTTATCAAAGTCTTGCAACACACACTTGTTTCATGATTTGAAAAAATATCACTCATTAGATGATTCAGAAACTAAGAAATTATTTTTTCTATTAAACTATATATATAATTTTTAAGGAAACACTACTGGAAAAGTGAAGCATTTGTCATGTTTTGACCATTTTAAGTAGTTTAAAACCACAATTAACGGTCTGGTCTCTACAACTTTTACTCAGGAGAAGAAATCTGCCTTTAAACTTGAATGAAATAAAGATATGAAATGTATTGTGATAATTATCGATATTGACTGATATGAAAAATTGTATCGTGATATTTTTCATATCAGTCAATTTCATTTCATATCACCCAGCCCTAGCTTTAATGGGTAAAGATACTCCTTTATGCCATTATCCATTATCTCTGAAGCATATTTTGATGGACTATAATGTCTTGAACTCCTCTAGGACACTTTACTTTTCAGGTGACTCTTTTAGATATATATTTTTTTATGCCTTTTTTAAAAGTGTTACTTTTTTTATTTGTTGTTTTATATAGTTTATTTACTTTTTCTATTTTTCACTTGGTTCTCACCATGAATATAGCCATGGTAGCTGCCATGGATCTAAATTATAATCAGTCAGTCAATCAAAAAATGGCTTCTGATTGTTCAGAATGTGTGTCAACTAGGGCTGCAAGATATTTCAGAAAAATGCAATATGCTATAGCTAGCGAGATATTCATGAGAACTTGCTGATACCGCATACTGGACTTGTCATTCTGTGCTTGCATCCTCCAGGCAGCAATCCAAACAGTAAATCTAATCACCATACAGGTAAAAGTTCACTTTAAGAATTAAAGCTGCAAGCAGCGTTGAAAGGGCACTCGCACCCGGAGCCACCTCCACCCGGTGGCCTTAGGAAAACAGCGAACGGTGGGTAATATGCATTTAAAGTGGTAAATATGGAAGGACCATTTCAAAGTCATTTATATGTGCCAAACTTCCTGCTGCCAGCTGGTGGGGCTACGACTATAACTGAATATTGATATGTAGATGTCTTCAGGCCAGGACTTTAATCAAACATATGAAGTTTGGTGCAGCTTGAACATAGTACGTTTGAGTTACACCATGTCCTAACCAGACGTGACATGACAAGATTCCAGCACTAAGCAATTTGGCTGTCCACACCAGACATGACACGACAACGTGATGTGACAGAATTACTCAAATATCTCAGCCATGCAGAAGCGCACTGCACTCCCAACGAAATGGACAAGTTCTAATCTAATTTATCAATATTAAACCTTTTTGACATTATTAAAAGTACATACTGAGTGACTGATACCATCTTTGTCATGGAAAGCACTTGTTGGTTCACATTGAGTTCACAGTTTTAATGTACATGTTTGCTTTTATTTTCAAGATCTGAGGTAAACTTTCTTTTGTTGCTTTCAGTATGCCTATAAATATCACGCAGTAGCAAATATCACCCTCACATCCAGCACACTCCCTCTTTGAACTGTTGCCATTTGGTCGACCCTACAGAGCTCTGAGCACCAGAATGACCAGACACAGGAACAGTTTCTTCCCTCAGGCAATCCATCTCATGAACACTTGACAATAACTGTGGAACACACAACACTATTTATACACTCATACACTTATTTATCTAACATACACACTTAGTCTACACCTCAAATGTGCACATAATATACCTGTACATACAAAACTGTCTTGTTGTAATATACCTGCACATACAATTGTCAATTTATATATTTTTATTTCTCATTTACTTGTTCTATTTTTTTTTTATTCTTTTATTATGTGTTTTTGTACTTTTGCTGTCATTGTTGCACTGCGGAAGCTTTTGTTATGAAAACAAATTCCTCGTATGTGAAAACATACCTGGCAATAAAGCTCATTCTGATTCTGAATATATTTAAACTTACATAAGACACATTTAACATTGAATGAAGCCGTGGCGGCTGGTGAAAAATTTTCTAGGTAGGGCGCCACATCCAGAAATTTTAGCATACATTATTTTTCCCATTATAACAAAAGGAGAAGTCGTAAGACTTGAAACATTTTAAATAAAGATAATTGTTTTACCAAGGTAGAGATTGAGGATGATTCCCACAACACTATCTGCAAGCTTTTTTCAAGATAAATGAAAACATTTTTCTATACAGTGCTACAGCAAAAACTGTGAGAAAAAAAAATGCATTTGATTAGAGAGCATTTTCTATGCATAGAGTATAGAAATAACTACAAGTCAAGCTGCAATACCAAACACGACCACACAGAGACGCAAACAGACCACTATAACAGTCACCTTAACCAGACTATATAAATGTATACCGATCCATTCCAAATTATTAAACAGAGCAAAGCATAAATTTAAAAAGTAAAAAATAACATCCTGAATTTGTCAAATATGGTGATCTGAAGGCAGCTCGACATCACCAGTGAACAATTCCTCTGTCAGAGTGAGTGTTCATTTATAAACACCATATATAAACACCACTGACCGCAGCAAACTCCTATAAAAAAACGCTTCTTCAGCAAGTGTCGATTATAAAACACTTGCCAGACATGCGAGCATACTGAAATGTGCTTGTGCAAAAATTTCAACTCAGCGGAAAATTCGCCTGACGCGTTGTTGTTATTGTATCTGTTTGCGGGCACCCCGAAATATATGATACAACTTCATATTCTTATATGGCTGTCATCCAGGCGCAGTTCCTGGAGAAGATGGGGAAATTCACTGAGTTGTGTGCGCCTCTGTATGGTGCTGTGAACCCAGACACGTCTGCGTTTGGCTTTCAGGCGTTTTTGGGACTTCCACAACAGGTACAAAGCAGCGATCGTATTTATCCTCACCATGGATGGTTACTCCGCGAGTAAAAACATAGCGCGAGTGACGCGAAAAACACCCCACGAGTAATCTAGAGCGAGTGACGCCATGCGCATATTCGCTTTGTGTCTGGTGTGAACACACCATAAGTGTAAAACATGACATGCCAACAGGTAGTGCTATTATAACTGAATATTGACCTTTAGATGTCTTCAGGCCAGGGCTCTTATCAAATAACAAATTTAAAAGTGCACTAAGCGATTTTTGAAAAACGCTTTTGACCAAAGTGTTGGACCGAGTCTCATAACACGCAGCCAGTCAGCAGTAAGGGGTGTGTCTAGTAATGATAGGGAGAAGAGAGCGCTTGGTGAGTGCACAGGATTGATATTAACAGATCGACTATATATAGCGAGAGATTCTTACAAATATCAACATCGTTTGGCAAAAATCACTTAGTGCACCTTTAAGGCAGATTGGACATTTTCTGTTGCCAACAGGTGGTGCTATAAATTATAACTGATTATTGGCATGTAGATGATTTCAGGCCAGGACTCTTACCAAAAATTTGAAGTTTGAGGCAGATGTTTAAGTTAGTGTAAAACAAGTGTTCTTTTACAGGTGGCGCTATGATTGTAACTGAATATTGGCCTTTAGATGTGTTCAGGCCAAGACTTACCAAATGTGTGAAGTTTGTTGCACGCGGCTCTTTGATCAGTAGAAAGTACTGCTCTGTCTAAAATCACTACGCGTTTGAGTCGCTTATAACTTCATCATTATAAATATACTTATCATGAAAATACCTGAGAAGGCTTAAAGTACAGTGATAGAAAGATGCCCATAGGCATTTCCTGGAACTACGCGTTTTATGGTACTACTTCTGCGGGGCATATTTGGAGTTTCTGTGCGAGAGCGCACTCTGGCATTTAAATGCAGCAGCATTCAACCATACTTCACTGACAAGCTGCGCATAAAAAATCGCAGCCAACCGCCAAATCGTGCGGTTTATTTTGGATTTATCGTGCAGCCCTATTTACTATGTTGCTAATAGTGCATCACAGTGTTAAACATGTCACTTCCTGTTGCCAGTAGGTGTCGCTATAACTATAACCGAATATGGGCATGTAGATGTGTTCAGGCCAGGACTCTTATCAAACATGTTAAGTTTGGGGCAGATTGGACATTGCATGCCTGAGTTACAGCAACCTCTGTTTTCATTGTATTATTAGCATGCTTTAGCAAATTAGCTAAGTGTTGCTAGAATGCTGTACCATGTTTTAAGCATGTTACGTTTGGGGCTGATTTGGACACTGCATGCCTGAGTTACAACAACTTTGTTTCATTTCATTAATAGCATGCTTTAGCCCAGGGGTGCAAACTCAATTCCTGAAGGGCCGGAGCCCTGCAGAGTTTATATTCAACTTAAATTAAACACACCTGATCCAACTAATCAATTCCTTAAGGCTTAATTGAAAACTACATGGAATGTGTGTTGGAACAGGGTTGGAATAAAACTCTGCAGGGCTCCGGCCTTCCAGAAATTGAGTTTGACACGCCTGCTTTAGCCCTTAGCTAAGTGTTGGTAGCATGTTTCAGCATGTTGCTAGCCTATTTAACACTTGCTGAAGTTTTTTAAAGGGGTCATATAATGCGATTTCAAGTTTTCCTTTCTCTTTGGAGTGTTACAAGCTGATTGTGCATAGATAAGATCCCTGAAGTTGCAAAGACTAAAGTCTCAAAACCAAAGAGATATTCTTTATCAAAGTTAAGACTGCCACACCGCCCTAAAACTGCTCGTT